ATTCAAGGGAATTCCAGAATCTTCCACAACATTAGTGTTACATATGGATTGAAGAGGTCCACGGGGGTGCCAATTGTCAAACCACAAATGAGTGCTTGCTCCATTTCGAATAACATGGTAGATGTGGGGTCTGAGAGTATCTCTTAGTTTAAGTAAGTTAAGCCATTTCCATGAGCATATTTGGGGTGGCTTACCCTCCCAAATGTTCTTTCTTCCTCCTTTGAGATGATAAGAATGAATCCACTTGACCCAGAGACTTTGATTATCGATGAAGAGAAGCCAAATGTATCTGCACATAAGGGCATAATTCAAGTCCTTGTGTTTCTTGATTCCCAAGCCCCTTTCATTCTTAGGCTTACAAACATCATCCAATGTAATCTTGGCCCCAGTAGATTTCAAATCAGTACCTTTCCATAAAAAAATCTCAAAATATTTTTAATGGAATCAAGGACTTGTTGTGGAATAAAAAGGTTGGAAGCCTAGAAGATTTGGATGCTAGAAAAGACAGACTGAATCAGCCGGAGTCTTCCTGCAAAAGAAAGGGACTTATTGATTCAGCACTTAACCTTTGTAACAGTCTTCTCGAACAATGGGGAGCAGTGGGTAGCTTTGAGTTTGGTGGAGACAAGGGGAACTCCAAGATATCTAACAGGGAGATGGCCTTCAGAGAAGCCCAACAGTTGAATAATCTGAAGCCTAGTATCTTGTGGAATGGTTGCCATGGAGATCTCACTTTTAGAGGGCTTAGCTTGGAGACCTAATATTTTCTGAAAAAAATCAAAAGCTTCCTTCAGAATTTTGACAGAATGATCAACCTTTGCAGAGTAGAAGGAGGTCATCAGCAAAGGAAAGTTGAATAAGCTTCAATTTCTTACATTTCTAATTAAATTTGAATTGGGGGTTAGAGCATGCTTGTTGCTGCATAATTGCATTGAGAATCTCCATGGCAATGAAAAAGAGGTAAGATGAAAGATGATCACCCTGCCTAAGACCTCTCCAGCTTGGGAAGTAACCTACAAGACCTCCATTAATATTGATAGAGAAAAAGGGGGAGGTGATGCAAGAATGAATCCATTTTCTTAGCTTTTCAGGGAAGTTGAAAGCTTCAAGGGCATCAAGCAAAAATCCCTAGTCCAAAGAATCAAAGGCCTTCATGATATTGACCTTGATTGCACACCCAGGGGCCCCATCATTTTTATGCTAGTTTTTGAGGAGTTCCTGAGCAAGCATGATGTTATCCCCTATTTTTCTCTTAGGTATGAAGGTGGTTTGGTTGTGGCTGATAATCTATGGAAGGATTTCTCTAACTCTGTTGGCCATGATTTTGGAGATAGCTTTGTAGAGCAAGTTGCAACAAGAAATTGGCCTAAAATCCCCCATAGATGTGGGATATGGAACCTTAAGGACAAGAGCAAGAATAGTGGAATTAAGTTCCCTAAGGAGTTTACCACGCTTGAAGAATTCCTTAGCAGTTTCAGTGATTTCATCTCCAATGATAGGCCAAAACTTCTTAGAGAAATGAGCATTAAAACCATCCGGACCAGGTGCTTTCATGTCATTGAAGGAAAAGAAAACTTCTTTGATTTTGATAGATTCAATATCCCTAACCAAATGAGTCCCTTGAAGGTCAGTAAGCTTGCCAAGATCCAGACTTTCAAAGAAGGATTTTCTTTCTTGATTGGGAATGGTGCCTTTAGTTTTCCCTAGAAGATTCTTGTAGAAGTTGATAGCCTCATTACCCACAGCTTCTTCCCCTTCAGCTGTGGAGCCATCAAAAGTATGAAGTGGCAAAATTATTTTCCTATTCCTTCTGTTGGTTATAGTTTTGAAGAAAAAGGCTGAATTGTGATCCCTTTCTTTGAGCCATAGGACTCTAGATTTTTGCTTGAGGATGGATTCTTCATTTCTGGCTGCTTGAGCATATTCTACAAGAAGAGATTTTCCTCTTGCCTTGTAAGGGAGTCAAGAGGATTCATGTCAAGCTTCCTCTGGCAATGATCAAGTGCAGCTTTCTTCTCTTTCACAAGGCAGGACAAATCCCCAATTTCTTTGCTTTTGGCTTTCAAGGAAGATTTGAGCAACCTTAGTTTGCTGCATACTTTGTATTGATAAGATCCCTGCAAATTTACACTCCATATAGAAGGAATAGTAGGAATAAAATCATATTATCTGCTAGGAAATTGAATAATTTAAAGCGGTTGTTCTTCTTTTTTTTTTTTTTTGGGGGGGGTGGGGGGTTTCCAATTTTTATAAAAACAGAAGTATGGTCAGAAATTCCTGGGGGGAGGAACTCAACCATTGTTCTTTCCATATTGTGAATCCAAGCATCATTACCCAAGGCCCTGTCAAGCTTTCTAGCAATGTAAGCTTCTCTATCTCTTTTGTTAGACCAAGTATAGAGGATTCTTGAAAACCTCAATTCCAAAAGCTCAACATCGTTCACCAAGTCATTAAAGTCCTGAATAGATTGATTCCGTCTAATGTCATGTCCTTGATGTTCTTGGATACTTCTTAAGGCGTTGAAATCACCAACGAACAACCAAGGAAGGGAGCTAAAGGAGCCAAAATGGAATCTTAGATCACTCCAAAGTCTTCTTCTCTCATAGTCATATTAGTAAGGATGTAACTTGGGTTGGGCAACCCGATTTTAACCTGAAAAAATTAGAACTTGGACAAGGATTTTTAATACTTGGGTTGGGCTTAGGTTAAAAAACTCAAATCCGAATTTAATTTGGGTTGGGCTTGGGTTAAGGCCTCGGGTTCACGAGTTTAACCTGAACTCGACAAATTAAAATATATATATATAAAGCGTTAGCACTGAATTTTCTTTTTTGTTCTATCATTCTCTGTCTCTCTTATTCATTTTCATTTTTGTTCTAGTATTAGCACTGTTAAAAACTTGGTTGAAGTTATTGGTTGTTAATTTAGGTGAATATTATGTAATATATGTATTAGGTTTAGAACAACAAGCCTATTTTGGGCTCTACCCGAACTCAACGCGAATTGAACCCGTAAAATAACCCAAAATTATTAACCTGAATTCAATCCGAGCCCGCCCGAATTAAATTCGAGCAGTGCTCGGGTTGAGTTCCTTAACTCTAGGTAAAGTTAGGGTTGAAGATTATATACCTAAAGTTGGGCTAGGGTTGACTGCTCAACCTGCCCGAGTTGCACCTCTACATATTAGCACCATAAATGAAAGAGACGATAACTCTTGTCCTACTATCATTGTGGACCACTTCACAGTGAATCACTTGGTCCATGTGGGAAACAATATTTACAATTAATGTAGCAGTATTCCATCCAACTCGGATCCTACCAAGAGGGTGGCAATCATAGTTTGTAAAAAAGGCCCAATTAGTGAAAACATTTCTTCTAATGGCTTCTTTATTAATATTTCTAACTCTGGTCTCAACAATGTCCAACATGTCCAGATAGTTTTCAAAAATGAGTTTTTCCACTTCAACTTGCTTTATGGGGTCATTTAGTCCCCTAATATTCCAAGTAGCAAAGTTAAACATAAGGAAACAAAAAAAAATGAGTTTCAAAAGCTCAGAACATTCTCAACCTCCCTGTAATAGGAGGCTTTTTCTTAGCCTTCTTCTTGTTAATAATATTACCTTTTGTATTCAATTGATGGGATTCAATCGACTATTTACTAGTTGCAGGGATGATATCGACTGCCAGTTGGCCTTCTTGAACCTGAAGGCTTTTAAATCTATTTGGAGACTAGAGTAAGGGTTGAGCAGGAGACAAGCAAGAAGTTTCAAGTATAGAGTTTACCTGGGAATCATGTTGATTTTGGGGTGGAAACAAAGCCTCTGAGGGATTTGGAGTGATATGCAGCTCTTGAGATTGGGCAGAGATTGTGGGATTAGCATTAGGAACAACACTAATTGTAGGTAGATCAGGAAAGACAAACTCTATTGTGAAAATAATGTCTTTCCCCTTCTAACTTCTGGAATCTTCAGGCTTTTGTGGGAGGTTTTTAGGTTTCCAAGCGGAAGCAATAGCCATCTTGGGACAAGTGGAATTGGAGTGGCCAAAGACCTTGCACGAGTGGCAAGTTTTTGGCCTCCATTGGTATTCAACAATAATTTCAACCTTTTCAATATTGCCATTGATCTCCATTTGAAGGTCGAAAGAATCAATGAGCTGGGAGTTTACACTAACTTCCACACAAATTATAGCAAAGTTCAATCTACGTTTGGAGGAAGTGAGGGAGTCGGCATGAATAGGATGCCCAACTGCGCTGGATATGTGGCTTAAACCATCATCAGTCCAAAATTGTAATGGAATAGTGAAGAGCTTAATCCATTGGGGAATAGAGGAGTGGTCCTCTTTGGAGAGAGTAAGTTCTGGACGCCAGTTTTTCACAATCAAGGGTCTTCCAGAGAATAACCAGGGCCCAGCTTCAAACACAGATTTTTTTGTTTCTTCGCTCGTGAACTTGAAGAAATAAAATCCCCTGTCATATGCTAGAACTTCAAGAAGCCCCAACTTGTCCCAATTTCTGTGAGCAATGAAATTAAGAGAGGAGTAGGAAAGCTTCCTTTCAATGAAATACCCAATCAGACAGTGTTGTCATTTCAGACTACCCTTTTCTCCAACCTCTCTAGGGGGTTGAACAACCAACTTTTCTTTTTCTAGGCTCATAGTACTTGAGTTTCATAACCTGAGATTGAACTGTAGCTCCTTGAACATTTCCGAATTTCACGATTTGGCTCCAAGTGAGTTTTGGGTTGGGGTTACTTTGGTCTTGTGGTTTAGGTTGGCTAGGATCAAAGGGGTGATTAAGTTTTGAAGAAATAGAGTCATTTGGGATGAAAATAGGAGATCGGGTATTTTGATCGGGGTATCTTTTTGGCCGAGATCCTCGGTGACCAGCTGACCTTCTTCGGTTACTTTTCCCAAATCCACCGTGGTTTGTAGAGATAAGCATTCAATGGTGGTAGTTGGTTCGGTGCCCCTTTCTTTGAGTGGGGTATTCATGGGTAGAGGGTTAGGCAATTTAAGACCCTTTTCTGTGATTGTGAGGAACGAGTCTGAGTGGGTGGGGTCCATGGGAGAAGGTGAGAGTGGAGTAAAGCAGAGGGGATCAAGGGAGGGGAGATCTGTGAAGAAAATCTGGAAGGAGGAGGAAGAGGACGAAAAGGGGGAAAAGGGAGTCATTGCTGGTCGTTGTAAGTGATGATCATTGATTTGCCAATAATTGTGTGAACCGACAGTGCACATGCAGACATAGTTTTGACTCCAAATGACTTGAAATGACGTTTATAAGTGTAACATGCCTCCCTGGTGACCACATGGGTCCACAAAAAGAAAAAGAATTTATGAAGAAATTAATCTTCTATAACTAATTCATGGTATTACAAGTGTTCAACACAGAAGAATGCAGATATTACACTTCCACTACTCAGTATTGAACTAAAATCTCATAGATCTAACTAGTTATAACATCAAACTAGGTTGTTATTTATTTATAGGGAACACTCTTATTAATATACATGGTCATAAAGCAATGAAGTAGCAAGCTCCTCAAGGCCCGGAAGCTGATGATTGTCGTCATAGTTGTACATTAAAGGCACCATTCTTGCAAGATTAAGAGAAGCCTTTTTGAAAGTTGCAGAAAATGGATTTGGAGACAAGCACTCCTTGTTGAGGCTCTTCCATGCGTCAGAAATTTTGTTAATAACATGTTCTCGTGCGGTTTCAACTGAAGAGCTTTGGTGTTCTTTCATGTAGTACTCCACGTATGATCCGTCGTACCCATCTTGATTTTCGTCCTGTCAATTAAGTAAGGAAATACATTAGATATTCTTAATAAATTGAAGCAATTGTTATTTCTGACAAAATTGTACTTTTTCTTCCTGTCGAAGAATTTGAAAATGTGCATTTGTCTGCATAAGAGGCTGTTTGTAAATTCTAATTCAACCTATTTAATTATTAGTCCTACATATTTTAACACTAATATGACTTATTAATGATGACAAATACGGGTCGTCACTCAATTCACGTGAACCAGATATTAAAGCTAGAATTCCTTTCCCCTCACCAAACCCATCACTCATTAGCCTTCAAAACTAAAAACTCACTAGATTTATGTTAGAAGAAAGAGGAAAAAATTAGGTATCTGTTTAACTCAATGCCAATTGAACGAGTTTATTATATCAAAATTGATTATTTGGATATAAAACTACCTTAACCAATCAGTCATTCGTGTTATATTTTGGTGTTATTTTATCATGTTGTCCTTTTCAATAAAACTTATGTCGCCTGAAATTCAAGTGGTATATAAATATATTGTTACCTTGGCACTGCCCAAGTCATCCCAAAGACGAAGAATTGTGGCCACAGAAATGATCAGACCTGGATTGTCCTTGACCAGACACTCACTTTCCTTATCCCTACCATGACCCAGGAGGAAAAATAGGTGGACAAGGACCACATGTACACCTGAACTGACAATCCCATTATTCAGGTACTCCTCTGCCTTTGGCAACTTCCCAGAAGCAAACCACTTGGCTTCTACGAGAAACGCATTGCACAGACTTGCCCACTGCAACCAATCAATAATCTTAGATCACTACTTATATTATATGGTCAATAATAGTGAACATGCTTTTAATTTGTTCAAAAGGTTATTTTCAGCCGGGGAAATCAACAAATACCGTCTCTCGTAGTGAGTCTATAGGGTTCCAACCGTATGCTTTGTAGACATTGTAACTGATTTCATTTGTGGTGTCATAAAGAGCCTTGAAACAGTTCTTCATGTAGTCTGGTAGTTGTTCGACGGCAGAAAAGTCCCACCTGCTTATAATAATTCCATTATTAGCATTATATATTCCGTTGCCTAACATTACAGGCAATAGACTTCTATTATGATATTGATGCGTACCTTTTGACAACTTCAGTGAAAAGAACGAGTTCATCAAGCGTCCCATAAAGATCGAAAATATCATCTATCATGTATATGAGAGAAATGGGCTTTGTGAGCTCAATTCTTTGGTACGACAAGTTTGGATCTGTGAGCATTGCCATTGGCCACATGTACCATTTAAGTGGTTGGTCCCTTGCAAGCTTCAACTCCTTAGCCAAACCTAGGTCACTCCACCACCTAAGATGACAGTGACACACATTAGACGAACATTACCTTCAAAAATATAGAAGAAAATGGCACAATAACCTCTTAACTATTACTTAGATTTCCTCTGTCCTCTCTCCTATTAAGTTTATTATACTGTCTTCCAAAATAGTTGAATTGGTTTTACATTAATCGAAATTTAAGTTTTTGTCACGTTTTCAATGGAAAATGTCCAGTATAACAAAATTCATTTTTCCAATTTGGATAATGGAGGTGTGAAATCAATAATCTTAGTTAGATGTGGAATATGAACAACGTAATAATTGATGGGACAAAAAAAATCAATAAACATATATAATTTAATGTACAATATAAGAAAAATTGTAGCAGGCCGGAAAGGATATATAAGACCGAAGACATAGGTGGGAGAATAGAAGTATAATTTGTCTAAAAACAAAGAGCAAATAACACCTGGCTCAGTTGCCATTAATGAGAGTGAAAAAAAAAAATTAGATTCTATATTATGTTAATGACGTACTTGGATACTCGAAGTAATTCTCTTTGGTGTATGGATTGAACCACATTGAAGTCCATTTTTGCTAGTTCTTGCAAGTCATTTTCCCATCCATTTGTACCTCTATAATCTACGATAAAGTTCTTTGCCATGAATCTTCCCAAGCTCTTGTGGTAGGGATTCCTCAATGTGGATGCCACAGTTCTCGCTTGATGAGGATCAAGATGTGTCACCAATTCACTTAAAACCTGTCTACTAAAGTTTGTCGCTTCATCAAGTATATCTTCTCCCTCTATACTTAGCTGCGAAGCCTCAAATAAACCCATGACCCCCTTCACGTCTTTACTCAGTTCTTGTGTGAACTTCCCCTGCTTGTTGAAGTTGCTAAACGCATCTGTTTCAAATTACATTAGCTCATCATGGACATTGTTTTGGGTATAATAGCTCACAATCAAATTTAAACTCAAAATTAACATGACGCTCACTTTAATAGTTAGGAACCTACCTGGGGAGACATAGTAACCTTCTGGTCTCAACAGTCTAAAGCACAGTGAGACCTCATAGAGATCTTCATATTTATGAACATCTGTTTTAATTGCCATATACTGCCTTTGTAGAATTGCTTCAATCTCCTCTTGAAAGTGGTACTCAATGCCTAAGCGTTGGATAGCATCAATCAAAAATAGTCCCTCCAATGGCTCTTCTCCGGCTTTGCTCAGTACACGCCTGACCTCCTTCAATTTTCTTGCGTGTTTGATGTGAACTTCATCCTTCAAGGAGAACTGTTAGACACAGAAAAAATATTTAGGGTAACATTACGTTACAGTTAATGGTAACTAATCCTTATGTAATCGTAGCTTTTTGGTATAACCAAATATTAAAGATCAGAAATTGCAGAGAAACAAGAAATGATGGAATGAATACCTCAACAGGTGAAATGGGGTTTCCTATAAGATATTCATAACGTTGTGATGGATTAGAACCCAACGTGAGGTCGTGGGCTATCGTCCATTTGTGGGTGGTAGGCAGAGATTGAATTACAGGTACGCTAATCTTGCCTGTTTGTTGGGTGTTAAATGGATTAGTACCGGCTAACATGCGGTGACAAATAGCCATGGGTATTATGAAGTTGTTATCAAGTATTAACGAGAAATATCTTTGGGAGATATTGATGACTTTGGAGTACTGAAACCTGGGACTTATTTATCGATTCCAGGGTTTGGGAAAGTGATTTGGTGGTTTAAACACGTTTATTTCATTTCTGGCTGTGGGAAAGTGAATTGATGCCGTCCACATCTTTATTTCTTTTGGCGCAATGCGTCACATGTTTCAGGGGAAATTTGATTTGACCCAAGTTGTACTAATTGTTTACTGCTCTACTTCTTTGTCAGGGGACCCATATATTTTAAAAGTTTCTCTTTTACTAAATGGTACTCGCATTTTACATATATACTCAATAAAGTATTATATATATTAAAATTCTGGTGAATACAAATTTCAATGATGATAGAGACAACCCAATTTTAATAATCAACATACCATAAATTAAAAATATAAACCCATAAAATTCATATGCTTGAAATTATATGTCTAATTATAGTTGACAGTAGCACACATAATTATTTACTCAAAAGCCAACTTACATTAGATTTTCAAATGTATGCCATTAGAAGGAATGAAGAAGAAAATAAATTAATTATTCATATTTAAAAGAAAATAACTATTTTTCCCTAATTTTTTTTCTTTTTCCTTTTTTTTTGGGCGTATGGACCAAAACTTAAAAAGGAACAAATTCTGTCATTTCATATCATAGGGAACATTGGTGAGAGAAGAATGCAATATGATTTATCACAAGAGCCTCACATACAATAAATTGATAGTCATTAATGGTAAAAAAACCAAAAAAAAAAAGTAATTTCCAACTCCAAATCTTAATGCTCTGCTTGGTACGAAGGAAAAGTGGGAGGATGAAAAATTAAAAAGATAAAAAATACATCATGTTTGGTGAGGAAGGAAAGTCGGAAGGATGAAAAAATGGATGAATTAACTTTCTTTTCAATTCACCAAAATCAATCTCTTCAAAATCGGAAGAAAAGTGAATGGAAAGTTAATTATTTATTTTGAGATGTATCTTATTTGTCTATATATCTTATGCATATATTAATTTCATATAAAAATACAATGGTAAAATTTGTATATATATTTTAAAAAATATTAAAAATTAATTTAAAAAATTAAATTAATTAAAAAATTAAAAAATTTAAATTAAAAAAATATATTTTTTTCATCTTAATTAAGGGTGAAAATTTTCGACTCAACACGATGACACGACTCGAACTCGATACAAAAATAAATAGGTCAACTCGTAACTCGACATGACACAATTAGTTAAATGAGTTAAATTAAATTTGACTAATATTCGACACAAATTCGCAATGATTCAACACGAATCTGACTCGACTCTATTGTCACCTTTAGTCTTAGTTAGCACAAAAAAAATTTGTCATTTTTATTTTTCATTCATCCAATCAAATACAAAAGAAAGAAAATGTATCATTCCTATTTTTTATCCTTAGAAGATAAAAAGTATATC